ACACACACACACACACACACACACACACACACACACACACACACACACACACACCAAAATTGCCCATATTTCTATGCTTAAACAATATTTTATTATATTATTTTTAAGAATAAAATAAGCTTTATTATAAAAATGACTTGTAAAATCTTTTAATTTTTTAGATATAAATAATGAAAGCACAAATATTTTTAAATTAATTGATTATACATATAAAAATATTTAGTGATAACATTCACAAAATGAACTTTATGATGCAAATGTTTATTATGCAAATGTTATTATGCAATTCATTCTTCTACGAATGAAATGTTCAATCATATTTATAGAGGATTATCAGTGACCTGTTATGAAGTTACACACATTATCGTTTTTTTCAATTAAATAGTATATGTATATGATACATTTTTTGTACATATAGATTATAAAATTATATTTCTACAAATGATTACAATTTTCATATGAAATATAATGCTTCCAATTACATATATTTATATAAGATACTTAAGAAACTAATGTAATGTAAAACTCTTTAAATAAAAAAGTTAAAAATAGTTAGTTAAATATACAAATTAAAAAGTAGTTAAAAATTATAATTTTTTATAAAAGAAATAAAATCTAAATACATACCTTTGCACTTAAGAAATTTTCCTATTATCCAAGTGTCCTAAATCCAAGTATTATATTACAATCTAATTTATTAAATTCAAATAGTATCTAATACTCAACCCTAATATGAATATCATTTATATAAAAGATTTGATATCTAAAAAGTGATACCAAGTTATAGTTCTATTACCTCAAAAATTAAATGTACAATTACTTTTTACAAATGTAAATCAATTAATTAATGATTCTTTGTATTCCCATTGAAATTTTCTAAAATCTAAATGATACAGCTATCTAAATGATACAGAAAATCTAAACGAACATTATGATATTATAAAATATTATACGTTTAATCTAATTTAACTCAAATGATATGTATCTAACATAAGTTGCTTTTATTCTCAATATATGTATATATCTCAATATATGTATACCAGGTGTATGCATAAGTTTTTTCTAAGGTTTAACTAAGAGATGTCGCCAGCGAAAAGTACGCAGCGTATTAATTTGACACATACATCATTTTGTTCGTCTGACATTTAAAACTACAAACACACACAAGTTGAGTCCGCCAAAAACTAGTCTTTGTTTTATCGTTCAGTGATCATGTAGAGTTTTGTGCCTGAAAAAGAACATTTGCGGCACGCATTGCTTTTTTTATTTAATCAAAAGAAAAAGGCTGTTGAAAGTCATCGTTTGCTGGTAGAAACATATGGTGAACACGCTCCATCGATTAGAACATGTGAGACATGGTTTCGACAATTTAAAAGTGGTGATTTCAATGTGAAAGACAGTGAGCGCTCTGGTAGACCACAAAAATGCGAAGACGAGCAATTGCAGGAGTTATTGGATGATGACCCAACTCAAACTCAACGGCAATTAGCAGAAGCATTACATGTATCACAAGAAACAATCAGACGTTTACGAGCGAGATAGGAAAGATACAATAAACTCGGTAAATGGGTCCACACGATTG